GTCTGTGAGCAGGAATGCGGGGAAGTCATTGTAGTTTCTGATAACTAATTCTGCACTTTTTCTCCCCTCTTTCATTCCTGGAATCAGTCTTAAAGCTGCAGAATTCAATATTCAACACCAACTGAACAGACTATCTGGGGATACAAGCATCATAAAATAAGAGGAAACAATTTGGCTGACGATGAAGCGGAGGGAGCCCTGGGAGAAAAGAACAGTGTGAGTGTGGCTTTTGGGGAAGCAGAAGCACAGGGTGGGGCACCATGCTTTTCCTTGGCAGAAGTGGAGGCTGTGAAGAAGCTGGGGGTAACCCTGGAAGAAGGATGGATTCTTCTATGTGACAGTAGAAGAGCGGGGCCGGGACCTTTGGCCCGACAGATCCCAGGCAGCTCGCATGGGGGGACTCACTGGGGCATGAGAGCACTTTGTGACCATTTTTTCTAAAATTTTATGGGTGTATAAGAATATCTGAAATTAGGAAACAAATTACTCAAGAAAATGGTAATGAATCCATGGTGAAGCTAAGGAGGGTACTGAGTGCCAAAAGGCTACAGTCTACATGAAGTTGGCATGGAACCGCTGTACTTTGGGACCAAGGGGAGATGTGGTTTTTGTATGTGTGATAAAAAATGTTATTTTGTGGCAATGCTGTTTAAAATACCAGTTTAAAGTTGTTTTGAGAGGTGCATTATCAAAGCCTGGACATCCTGAATTGGCTGCCAACTGCAACCTCGTTGAGTTTGAAGGCAGAACAGCGCTGATGGGAAAGAATCAGACACCTCGTTGATCAATGGGAACAGCCCAGGAGGATTGAAAAATTTCTCCAAGAGCCTCCAACAGTCAACATTAACTGATTTATCTGAAGAACTACAACTCCAGAGAAAGAGACTGGTAACACCTGTTATTAAGAGGGTCAAAAAACAATTAACACACTGGGAATGTACTAACCATGGCTTAAAGTGTTGTCCATAAATTTGTGTTATTTGTACCTGTTGTTTTAATTTGTGGTGAAGAGTAACTAGAGTAAAAGAAAAAGAGAGACAATTGGTTTGTTTAAGTTGTATATGTAAACAGCTAACTTTAAAAAGATTTTTTAGTGATTTTTGGAACACCATTGAGACAAGTCATGTGAAAACAAATCTTGTTTTAGTTGGCATATCTCCGGAGCTTTAGTGGATTAGGAAAAATAGCTGATCAATCTAGGGAGAGAGATAAGGCAGTGCTGCAGAACTACAAATGCTTTGTGCCATCTTTCGATTGGAAAAGTTAAAATGGCTCATATGAGGCTCATATGAGGCCAAGGGTACCAAAGAGAAACAAATCCCAGGATAAAAACTTTGCTACCGAGAAGATTGATATCTCGGCCCTTGGCTGCAACCCAAGGGGCCTTGAGACAGGTAGAAAGTTAAAATTCCTGAGAATTATTTTCATTGTGCTTACTATAATACCCCTGGCAACTGGCTAAAACCATAAGACAGCATGGAGTAGAAAAGGACAGGCCATGCAGGAACAAATTACAAGATGACAAGTGACGCAAGATCCAGCAGTGAAGAAACAAACTATTCCTGATCCCTGTGGGTCAAGGTTAAATAGAATCAGTTTTTATGGCACATTCACATGTTAGTGCTGCCTGTTATGACCGTAGCAGCTTCTTAGAAATTTGTGTGACAAGTCCAAGATTGTATTGAGTAAGAAAAGAATTTGGGAGTCAACGGGTGAGCTCCTTATCCTAACAGTGATCGACTTTGTCCAAGACATGACAATTTCTTTTGTTTTGAAAAAGATAAGAATAGAAAAGAACAACAAAAAAAAATTAGTAGGAAAACAAAAAGAAACAATGAAGGATAGGAAAAAGATCAGAGGGAAAGAGTTAGAGGAGCTGGATGAGCTGTATAAAGCAATTAAAACAGCACTATGGCGACTGAGATTTGCCAACTTCAAACAAAAATCTGTTTGTAGATCTGATGCAAGAAATTGCCACAGAATTGGGATTATCTAAATGTTTTGTTTATGGAGGACTTAGAATGGCTGAAAGATGGCCATGGAAGGGTGAGGGTTTAGCTCCAGAACAATTTTTAAAATGGAATCATATGCAAATTTTTAAGACGCTGAAACGGCCTGAGGGTTGGGTCCTGAGCCATCAAGTAACTGGGACAGTTTGTATAACTCAGGAAGGGAGAAAATACACTGAAGTGGTAGGATATACTCCTTGCCTATCTACTTTAGTAATAAATTCAGACAATAACATAAAGACCTGGCGACCCAAGAGTCCTACTGGATATTTAGGAATAGCGAAAGAGATAGACTGTGAGTGGAATAATCAAACT